TTATACTTATGTGGCCCACATATCTATATTTGACATCTGGGCCAAATACTACATTTGACATCTGGCCCATGTCTTGTGTGCCGTCTTAAACCCGGTACCATCTCTGCCAAACCCGGGCCATGTTTGGCCCACATGCTGTATGCCAGTACCAGATGCATGCCAAATTTGTTTGCTGACTGGGGAGGTGATTCATGTATGCTGTATGGGGGTTATTTCATGTATGTTATATTTGCAGCAGCAATATTTCTTACATGCTCACAGCAGCATGTTGGGAAACGTGTCAATTACATGTAAGAAAGTGTCAGGAACGGTTGTATGTATTATTTGTGTAATTTTAGGGACTAAACTTACCTGAAAGCAGTGAAAACAGCAGAGAGACGGACTCTCGTTACTTGTCAGCTGAGTGAGTTTATGGCCCATTTCCATGGTAACTCCCTCTGCTCCAGTTTAAATGTGATTTGAATGCTCAACGCGCGCGCCCATTAAAACACATCAAAGTTACGCATTTACATAAATAGTACATAAAATTCAAATAAAATGTCCTTAAACTTCATCATGTATTGTTTAAGTGGATAGTAGGCCTACATCAAACTGTAAATTGAATGAGAATATGAAAGCAGTGATTACAAAAACATGCTCACAGCAGCATGTTGTGGATGTATTGGCAGTAGCAAGTTTCGATACTTGCTCTACCACAGCAGCAGCAGCGTAGCAGATCTATTCCGCCAAGACCAAATACATTAATACATTACCATGCCAATCCCTCCGAGAGTTGTCATGACAGAAATCTTTTAAAAGGAAGACATCGTCCAGATTTTCCTTCAACTGCTCACATTTGTTTAGAATATTCTGCTTTGAGTTGTAGTTCAGGTGAGCACAGATTCAGTCAGATGCTTTGACCCTGATACTTGTCACGCTGTGATTAAGACTGCATATGCCTGAACTGCATTATTAATGGAGTCAATGAAATTTAGATGGAGATTACAAGAGATTGAAGCTTGTTTGCTCATCTCCATCCCGACGGCTGAGGATTAATGGGATGCTTTTACTCAGACAGGGTTAAATCAAGTTGGATGTGGAAGATTTATGCACTTGTGCACAAACACACAACATATCATTAATTTTGTTGCACACACAAATTCAGATATGGACAGCAACTCTGATTCTTCTCAATAAATGAAAAGAAAGGATGTCATGACTTACTTAATTTCACTTTCTCTGATTCGGCTTTCGTCCAGATCCTCAATGAACTTCTCTCCCTTCATCCAGTAGATGAGAGGACTCGCGTCCCCGCTGTATCCAAAGAACGCTTGGCAGGTCAGGTTCACTGGGCTCCCTGCAAAAACACACATTACAGCAGAAGTCCATTTATGTCATCCGTGAAAACAACTTTCTCAAACTGAGCCTGGCCTGTTGACTGCTGTTTGATTTGTTCTCTCTAGAGGAACAGAAGCTGCTACAAATAGCATGAGGGAGTTTAGACCGTAATCGGATATCACTATCACCCTAAGAGTGCCTCAACATTTTTCCAAATCTATACTAGACACACAAACACTCCAGGCCTGTGACAGTTTGTAAATTCATACCGTCCTTCTGTAGATACTACACGCTTTAACATAAACACAGAGAATCTAGACCGAAGTAAATCAGTTTTTATCTCAAACTAGTGCTAATGAGAATCTCCAGTTCTGCCTGTATGTAAAAATTAATAGTCTGTGAGAGAATTAATGAGCGCAATCCTTAGATGCTGGATCAGGCTGAAATCTTGATGGGATGGCACATGCTGGAGTTTCTTCTCTGGGCCACTGGAGGTCACTGTGGTTCCATCTCTCACACAGGACAGATCAAAATGGCACAGACAGACCGTCAGAAGACATGTATTAGGGCACATTCTTCAGTCTTTTGTAGCATGGCACACAGTCTAAACCATCTGATGCACAGTGATTCAGCAGGAACAGCACTCTGAGGCTGCTGATGGTCGGCCTGTACCCGACTGGGTTTCCAATCTTCAAAACACCGTACACTGAAATTAAAGCTTGATTCATGTCTTCATCTCTCTATATATATTTATTTTAGATTTTGCTTGACACTGTATAATGAATGACTTTGTGTTTTATGTTTGTCAGTAGGGATGTAATTAAAATGTCAACCCATGATTTTGTTTAGTAAACAACTTATAATTGAAAAGTGAATACTTCCAGAAAAATATGCATACAATTTTATTTCTGAAAAGCTCCTTGAACAAAATGCCAGTATTTTAAATTAAACTGAGACTGTCAGGTATTTTTTTTTCTCCTGTCCTGATCACGGTTAGCTAAACATACCTAAAACGAACCATCCTCACTGCGCACAGAATCATTCGGTTATTCATACATGTAGCAAATGTCTGTTATAGTGCATGTGGGTGTGTTTTAGTATGCATTGGGAAATTGGAGCAAGAACGTCTTAGTTAATCGGGTCTCTATGGTGTGTTAATTGTGTTTGTCTGTGCCGGCCTCTATTCATTCACATCCAGCAGAGAGGATCATCCAGACGACAGAAAGCTGTTCTGCTCATTAAAACGCTGTTGGGAGTGATTGTGCCATCATAATGCCATAACTGACCTCCTGCGGCCAAACAAATTTAGAGAGAAAGGCAGAATGAATGAATGAATGAATGAACGAATGAATGAATGGAAAATGTCTGTATGAACGATGTTCATCTGAGCGAGTATGTTAGTAAGGACTAACCACCCAGCTAACAGGGAACATTCCCACAACTTTCAATCAGTTAGTTAGTTTAGTTTATTGTCCTTTCGGAAATTATTTTTGTATCTGTAGCAACTCTTCAGTCATCATCAACAACAATTGACAAATACAAGGCAAGGCAAGTTTATTTATATAGCACAACAAACAAACATCAACAGATTACAACACATTACAAATACAACCAGAATCAAACAACAACAGTATCACTGCCATAGATGTAAAATGAAAACTGTGATATCACAAGAATTTATTTAACAGAGCTATACTTTTATAGAGGATATAAAAGATCTTTGTGAACAGGCAGTCCGTAATAACGGTACACTATACCTTCGACCAGATGGTAACATTTTCACCATAAAGTGGATGTGATACATCCCGAAGAATTGCATGGTTTTTCCTCACAGCAATCTTACTAGCCATATTAACAATCAGTGTTGGGAAGGTTACTTTGGAAATGTAATAGGTTACAGATTACAAGTTACCCTACTTAAAATGTAATAAGTAGTGTAACTTTTCAATAATTTAATTACAAATTTTTTCTTAGTAACTGTAACCGATTACAATTACTTTTATTTTGTAATTAAATTACGTAATTCCGTTACATGTAACTAGTTACTCCCCAACACTGTTAACAATCTTATTTAGTTTGTTCTTATTGACCACAGAGTGAGAAATACCAAGCAATGCAGCTGAAAGTCAAAATAAATAAAATACTCTCCATAAATGAGTGATAGAAAAGAACCAGTATACTGTATATGTATCCACACACACAATCGTTGCAGCCCTTTCCTGTAAATAGCTCCTGTACTTGCATCCCATTTCAATTTTACATCAGTGACTGTCCCTGGACATTTATATTAATTTACTACTTCAATGCACTCACCGTTGATAGTTATTTGTTGGTGTGTATCTCAAAAATAATCTCTTTAGTTTCCCTGGTGTTTAACTGAAGGAAACTGGATTGACATCAGTCAACAAACTCATCCACACATCTACGATACTCCACTTCATCTTCAGTAATCAAACCAACAATTGTCATATCGTCTGCATACTTGAAAACTTCAGATGAGGAACCTCTACATTAATTTGTATAGAGGGTAAATAACACTGGGGAGACAGTACTTCCCTTTGGGGCCCCGGTGTTCGTAACAATAGGGGGAGACAAAGCAGAGTTTACCCTAACACACTGTAATCTATCATTATATAATATATAATATATAATATTCTTCTTTCAGTCAAGTCTCTCTCTCTTTCTCTCTCGGTCTCCCTCAATAGGAACTTTTGTCCCGGCAGATGTGAAGTCACAGCAACCAGTCGAGTAAAGACTGAATGCTGACCTGAACCTGCAAGTTGGGCAAAAGCCATTACTGAGAAAGACAGAGAGAGACAAATCATCATCCAAGTCATAACAGAGTATGTGAATTCACACATAGACTCAAATGTCGACAGCAACAGCACTAGAATCCCCGATTTAATGTTGTCTGTAACTTTCCTTCCCTTTCAGTGTGATTCAATCAGAAATACAGATCAACAGATGGAGGAAAAGCTGATTGTCAAGCCAATTCAATGGGACTTTTTTTTTTGACAGAACTGACAGATGTGGCACATCCTTTGATAGAAATACGTCAGAATGCTGTTCATAGACTTCAGTTCAGCATTCAACACAATCATCCCTCAGCAGCTCATTCACAAACTGGTCCAGCTGGGGCTCAACAAAGAATTGACAATAAAGCAGACTTGAACTTGAACTTGAACTTGAAATATGTTACCGCAACTCATATTTGTGCTTTTTTTAAAGCACCTGCAGGGAAAGATGATACTAAACATAAACAATGAACCTGCATTACTCTCAAATCAAATGGATGTCATTTAACCTGTTAACCTGCACCCCCCATTTTGGGACTCACAGCTG